ACAACTGATTTTTTTTAACAGGAAAGAAAAGGTAATTTAATGGAAAAAGAGTAGACTTTCAACAAAAGCAGTCTTCCACATGCTGGAACAATTAAATATCTAAATGCAAAAAACAAAAGAAAAAAAAAAGAACTTCAATCCATATCTCACACCAAACACAAAAATTAACTCAAAATGGATCAGAGACCTAGATTTAAAACCTGAAACTGTAAAATTTCAGGGCTAGCCTGTTAGCTTGGTTGGTTAGAGCACGGGTGCTCATAACACCAAGGTCCAGGGTTTGAAAAAAATAACAAATAATAAAACTGTAAAATTTCTATTAGAAAAGATAGCAGAAAATCTTTATGATCTTTGGCTAGACAAACATTTCTTTTTCTTTTGGCAGCTGTCCTGCACAGGGAAAAATGTCTTTGGTATGATACCAAAAGCATGGGATGGTGGGTTAGCTCAGTTGGTTAGAGTACAGCCTTATAAAAGCAAGATCCTGGATTCAGATCCCTCTAATGGCCAGTCACACACAAAGATACCAAAAGCATAATCCATAAAACAAAAAAGTCAATAACTTAAACTTCATTAAAATCAAAAAATTCTGCTCTTTGAAAGACACAGAATGAAAAAAACAAGCTATAGTCTGGGAAACAATTGAAATATAAGATAAAGAGCTATATCCAGAAAATATAAAGAACTCTCAAAACTCAACAAAAAGGAACAAAACAGTCCAATTAAAAACAGGCAAGAGATTTGAACAGATACGTCAAGAGGATATGAAAAGATATTCGATGTCATTAGTTATTAGGGAAGTGCAAATTAAGACCACAGTGAGATACCAGCACACACCTATTAGAATAGCTAACATGATGAGACAGACCTTACGAAGTGCTGGTGGGGATGTGGAAGAAATAGGACTGTCATTCTGCTGATGGGAAAGTAAAATGGTTGACTATTTTGTTTTGGGGGGTTTTTAGCATTTTTTTTATTGGCTGGCTGGCTGGGGACCTGAGTCCTTGACCTTGGTGTTATAACCCCATGCTCTAACCAGCTGAGCTAACCGGCCAGTCCTATGCATGAATGTTTATAGCAGCTTTATTTGTAATAGCCAAAAACTGGAAGCAACCCTCATGTCCATCAACAGGTGAAAGGGTAAACAAATGGTGGTATATCCGTACAACAGAATACTACTTGGCATAAGAAGGAATCAGGTGCTGATACACACAACAACATGAATGTATCTCAAGATAATTATGCTGAGTGAAATAAGCCAGACAAAAAGAGGACATAATGTATGATTCCATTTTCATAAAATTCTATAAAATGCAGGGGGCTGCCTGGTTAGCTCAGTTGGTTAAAGCGTGGTGCTGACAACACAAAGGTCCAGGGTTCGATCGCTGTACCAGCCAGTCACCAAAAACAAACAAGAAATCAAACCAAATTCTATAAAATGCAAACTAATCTATAATGACAGAAAGCAGATCTGAGATTGCTCGGGGAGGCGAGTGGGAGAAGATAGGGCTAGAGGAAGCAACTGTGAAGAGACATGAGCAATCTTTTGGGGTTATGAATATGTTCACTACCTTGATTGCAGTGATGTGCATCACATGTCAAAACATAAAATTGTTGGGCCAGCCCGTGGCTCACGGGAGAGTGCGTACTGATAACACCAAGGCCACGGGTTCGGATCCCTATATAGGGATGGCCGGTTGGCTCACTTGGGAGAGCGTGGAGCTGACAACACCAAGTCAAGGGTTAAGATCCCCTTACCAGCCATCTTTTTAAAACAAACAAACAAAAACCATAAAATTGTTCACTTTAAATAAGTGCAGCTATCATACTGGTCAGCAGCCAAAAAAAAAAAAAAAGTGCAGCTAATTGTATGTCAGTTATGTCTTAATAAATCTGTTAAAAAATAGTGTGTGCAAGGATGAGCCTAGAACATCTTGTGATATCAGAAATTAGGCAGACCAATCCTTTTGTCAAAAAAACTCAGGTGGTGACTTGAAGAGGCACCCACTGGCCAAAGATGGGAAAATATGAGCATCAATTAGGATAATAACTGAAGTGGATCGAAAAAGAACAAACTGTCTTTTGTTTTTTTTTTTCGTGGCTGGCCAGCAGGAGGATCTGAACCCTTGACCTTGGTGTTAGGAGAACAAATGTATTTATATCCATGTGTTCATGATGATACTAATAATAAACTTCACTGATCACTTTTTTTTTTTGGCGGTAGCCAGTATGGGATCTGGGATCCAAACCCGTAACTTTGGTGTTATAGGGCTGCTCTCTAAGTAATCGATGAGGCTGGCCGGTTAGCTCAGTTGGTTAGAGCGTGGTATTGATAACACCAAGGTCAAGGGTTTGGATCCCCATACTGGCTAGCCACCAAAAAAAAGAAAAACGAAATCTAATAAAGGTAAAGAATCATCCATTTATCCTGCCTTTCCTATATGAACTATACCTCAGGTAATTAATTAGCCAATGAAAGGAAGTTCTTCATAGAAGTATTCATAAAAGTATTCCAGTTAATAAACGCAGAAGAATGATATCACCACTTATAACCCCTAATCAATGCAATGATCGTCAGTGGCTGCAAACATCACTAAATGAGAGGCATGCAGGCATTATGATTCTCCCCATTGAAGTACAGATCACCAAAGAAGTAGTCTTAGTAAATTAAAAAAAAAAAATCAAACCTAATCTGGTCAGACCTTTTAGGTCTACCAATTTGCAGAGAACACAGGGGACAGAGGAAGAGGTCGAAACAACAGCCTGGGGACGTGATCAGCAAAATCCAGACTAGGGAAAACTCTATAGGACAAACTCTATAGTTTCTTAAAAAACAAATATAATAAAATAAAACAAACAGAGAAAAGAAAAGAAAAGGAAATGATAGAACAGAAATTGCAAGTAAAACAGAGAGGAAAAGGGAAACCATAGATTTGAAAAGATTTAAGAGATATATTAACCAGTTGGGATGTATGGTTTGGATCTCAATGTGGTCAAACCTGAAAAAACACACAAAAAAAGACATTTTAGCCCAATCAGGGAAATGTAAACACTAATTCGATATCTGATGGGGCCGGCCCGTGGCTCACTTGGGAGAGTGCGGTGCTGATAACACCAAGGCCACAGGTTCGGCTCCCATGTAGGGATGGCTGGTGCTGACAACACCAAGTCAAGGGTTGAGATCCCCTTACCGGTCATCTTTAAAAAAAAAAAAGAAAAATCTGATGATATTAGGAAATTATCGTTGATGGGGGGCAGTGATAGTTTTGTGGGTATATTTTCAAAAGAAATGCTTGTCTTTTAAATATATACACTGAAATGTTTACTAGGGAAGTCATACGATGTCTGGCAATTGGCTCAAAATAATGTTGAGGAGGGTGGCAAGGTAGATGCAACTATAAAGTAAAAAAAGATTGACCATAATTGGTAATTGCTGAGATAGGGTGGTGACTATATGGGGGTTCATCAGGCTCATCTCTCTACTTTTGTATATGTTGAAATTTTCCACAATAAAAATGTTTGAAAATTGTTCGTCAAAATTATTACACTAAATGTAAAAAAAAAAAAAATCAATTAAAAAGTCGGGAAGAGGGCCGGCCCGGTGGCGGTGGCGCACTGGGTAGAGTGCGGGCTTGAGAGCCCGGCGGCGCTCCCGCCCCGAGGGTTCGGATCCCATATAGAGACCTGTTCTCTCACTGGTTGAGCGCGGTGCGGACGCGACACCAAGGGTTGCGATCCCGTTGCCGGTCACGAAAAAAGACAAAAAGGAAAAAAAAAAAGTCGGGAAGAAATACTGCAGGACGGATAAATGTCAAGGCTTATGGGTACAATATGCTAACTGCGTTGAAGTGGCAGATGAGTCATTCCCCTCCTTTTCTCCATTTTCTGTAAGGTTCCTATGTATTTTAATATTATTTTATGAGAAATTACGCATCATAAACGTTACGGGGAAAAAACTTCATTTTCGCCGTCTCTGTCCTGGTCCTAAAAACCCGTCTCTATTCTCTCCCCGTGTCTGCCCGGTTTCCGCTAGGCTCCCGCTATCTTTTCCAACTTTAGATTCTCCGGATTCCGGGACTACGAGGCTTTTGAGGGAAGCGGGTCAGGTCCAGGGCGCCCTAACCGTCTACCTCACCCGCAGGGTCACTTCTGAGCCACACGCCCCCGAGCGCAGCCACCTCTAACGTCACAGCGCTCCTTTGCTACCGCCCCGTTCTGACCCATCAAGAATATTCACGCGCGTGCGCGCAGCGGGACTACATCTCCCAGGAGACCCTGCGCCTCCAGGAGGAAAAACCCTTGGCGGCGGAGGACTACATTACCCAGTGACATCTTGCGGAAGGCGGTAGCTGGGCCTCGAGCGTACAACCATTGGTCTAGAGTCTGTGGGTAGCTACGCGGTGATTGGCCCAGGAGCCCGTCAGTTGTTGCCGAGCGCAGTTGAGTTTTGCTTTTGGACTGCGTGAGGAAGGTGGGAGAGCAGGGCGCAGGGATCCGGCCGCGCCCGCCGAGTCGGGTGAGTGACCTGATCCTCCGCCTTTCTCGCCGTCCTCTCGGGGACCTGCACTTTCGCTTCCCGGGGTGGACCTGGGGGAACACACGAGCGCTGGTACTCACTTGGGGGCGGGGACTGTACGCACACGTGTCACATCTGACCTGAGAAGCATCTTCAGGGACTCAGGAAGCAAAATCCCGCGCACACCCCGGGACACCTGAACACGTGGGTGCCTCGCTCTTGGCCGTCCTCTCGGTCTTGGGGAGAAAAAAGCACACCTGGACACCCGTGTCCCCACGCGGAGTCATCTGCAGAGACCCTCAGCTGAGCACATGAGCACACGGGCACTCACCCGCCGCGGGGCACCTGTGCACGGAGGCCGGGGGCGTCCGCGGAGAAGCCGGGTGGAGAAGGCAGACACTCACACCTCCACCCACGTGCCACTCACACCAGCAACCACCTATCTCTGGGTGCTGCGTTGTGTGTATCATACATATAACTGCAGCCATATTTCATTTTTTATTTTGTCTTTTTAGATAAATATCAAGGCTTACGGTACAAGAAGGAGATTTTGAACAAGCAGAAAAAGTAAGGCCACCATTGAACTGTATTTAACAAGCCCTTTCAGATGTATGAGGTTTTTTTTTTTTTTTTACAAAGCTCATCACATATATTACCTTGCTTGATCCTCCCAGCAATCTGGGCTAGGCAGGGCAGACGTCATTCCCACTTTCCAGAAGAGAAAACTTAGCCCTTGTTAAATAAACCTAAGTTTTATGGGAGAGGCAGAACTTGAAGTCAGCTTTCTTGATCTGAGGTCTAAGCTTATATCCAGCTATGCAGAGTTGCTTATTTATCGAAATCTCTGCACAACCCAGCCTTGCCCACCACCTTTCACCTTGGGTGTGAATTGTGCAGTTACAGTCAGGGCTTCTAAAGGGAAGAGCCTAATATCCTCCAGTCTCCTGAAACTGAACCGGGACACCTGCCATCGGGCTTGCTTCTCCTTCGCTTCCAGACAGTCAGCAAACTGACATTGCTCAGTGTGACCTGAGCAATCCCTGGGTAACCCTGGGAGAGGTTTTGCCTGTCAGTCCCCTGCCCCATGTTTAAACTTCTTACAGGTGCCTGGGGAGGAGTTCCAGGGTGGGTGAGAGGAGGAAAAGAATCAGTGATGGATGAGATGGAGGTTGTCACTGTGTAGTCAGTGACTTCCCTGTTACTCCAAGTATTCAAGAAATAGGTTAATTCTGAAATCCTTTCTAAAATCAGTTTATATTTAGTTTTGGTTTAGGGTTTTTTGTTTGTTTGTTTTTTGCCATAACAAATTCAAACAAGGGCCGGCCCGTGGCTTGCTCGGGAAAGTGTGGTGCTGGTAACACCAAGGCCATGGGTTCGGATCCCATATAGGGATGGCCAGTTCGCTCACTGGCTGAAAAAGATGCTGACAACACCAAGTCAAGGGTTAAGATCCCCTTACTGGTCATCTTTTAAAAAAAAAAATTCAGACAATATGGAATTACATAGAGAAAGAGAAAGAGCTACCTTTCCTATCTCCTTCCCATTTCTTTCCCCAGTGGGAACTTACCAACTACCTGTTGGTGTGCATGTTGTTAGAGACCTTTTTCTATACATGTATGCTTTATAAAACTGTACAGTTGCTTCTCAGCCTTTTGGCTAAGATCAAGTGTATACAACTGTACAGAGTGTATATACGTCTTACTGTTTTTCTTTTACAAAAATGGGATTATACTAGACATACTGCTCTGAAACCTGCTTTTTTTATGATTTGATCTACGGTGGGCATTTTTCCAAGTGAGTGTGTATAGTTCTGGCTCATTCTTTGTAATGGATGCATAGTATTCCACTGTATGGATGTCACTTAGTGTATTTATCCATTTATCTATTGCTGAGCATTTGTGTTATATCCAGTTTTACAAATAATGATGCAATGTGCAACATTTTATACACCTATGCTACTATTTCTCCTGATCAGTGCTTCTCAACCAGGAGCAGTTTTGTCCCCAAGGGGACCTTTGGCAGTATCTAGAAGCATTTTTGATTGTCACAATTAGAGTGTGGTGGTAGAGACCAAGGGCACTGCTAAACATCCTATAATGCATAGGACAGCCACCACCAACAAAGGATCATCCTTTCTAAAATGTCAGTAGTGCTGAGATTGACAAACCCTGATATAGAAAAAGGTGGAATTAGATATTTTGGAAGTAAGTATGTATTTTTAAAAACCAGCGCCCAGCAAATTTTGGCACAGCTAATTGATGGAATATTATTCAGCCATTTAAAATGATATTTATGAAGATCTTGTAGCAACATGGAAATGTGCTTATGACATTTTGCATTTTAAAAGCCAGGATACTGGAAAAAAGCAAGAAGGGGATATGTGAAGTAAAAAGTGTTAAGGTCATAGGGTTCTTTTTTCCTCTGTCTCCTAAACTTTCTGAAGCTCACTATTTCTTCTATAATCTAAAAGTTCTTTGGTTTTAAATCATTTGTTCATTAACTGTTTTTAAGGCCTTTGCTATGTGCTAGGCACTGTGCTGGTCTCTGGAGTTACAGCTGTACGTAAGTAGGTGACTGAGTCCTCGCCTACACGGAGCCTCCTTCCTGTGGGCAGAGAGGACAGGGACTCCACGGTAACAAGTGCTGTGAATGCTACAGAGGAACTAAGTACATCTCCCGGAAGGGATGCTCTTTAGCTGAGCTCTGGTGGACGAGAGGAGCTACCCTTGGGAAGTGTGAGTGGGGGGTGGCAGTGGGGGCTGCCTTTCAGATGTGGGGAACTAGACATGCAGAGGCGAGGCTGGTAGATAGGAGCACTCCCGGCATTTTCTGGGAACTGGTCAGAAGCACTCAGACCACCCAAGTCAAGTGGGGGGAGGGGAAGAATTGTGCAGAGTAAGGCTGAACAGGTCAACAGGGTTCAGATCAGGTGGGGCCTCATAGTATCATTTCATAGTGTAACAAAGTCCACTGTGCTGGGGGGGCCCTGAAGTGTGTGCAAAGAAAGGGGAAGGGAAACGCGAAGGGGCTGCTTGGCTCTTCCTTTGGATCCCAGCCCTGTTCTCTGTCCCTGTATATCCTTCAGTCCCCCTCAGTGTTCAACTTGAGTGGGTTCACGTTTTACCTCGGGCACGGGTTTGCCATAACTTTGCCAGACATCACTGGTAAGCCAATTGATTTCTGGGAATGAATGAATTCCTATCAAGCCTGTTCATTCATTCTGTTCACAGATATTATTGAGCACTTACTCTAATGGGCTTTATTCCAGGCACTGGAAATGTAGGGGTGAATAAATGAGACTAAGAACACGTTTCCTTCTAGTCGGGGAGAGAGATAAGAATAAATGTATGGTATGAATATCCCATTGTAGTAAGTGCTATAGGGACTGTCCAGTTAGCTCAGCTGGTTAGAGTGCAGTGTTGTTATACTACAGTCGAGGGTTCGGATCCCCATGCCAGCCAGTCAGCCACCAAAAAAAAAAAAAGAAATGTTATAAAGAAGAGTAATGTGGGGGCTCTTTTAGACAAGCTGGTAAGGGAGGGCTGCTCTGAGGAGGAGATGTTTGAGCAGACACCCTAAGAAACCTGTGTTGGTGTTTCCTCCATGTCTTTTGCAGTTAACTTGACACAGATGGACATTGTATGGGCCAGAGGCAGGGATGGTTGGCTATGACCCCAAAGCAGATGGCCGAAATAACTCCAAGTTGGAGGTGGCGGTGGCTGGGTCTGTGTCTGGACTTGTCACTCGGGTACTGATCAGCCCCTTGGATGTCATCAAGATCCGTTTCCAGGTACCCTTTTCCACTTTTTCCATGCAGTGGGCTGGAGTGCAGTCTTTCTTGCAAGAGCAGGTCCTAAAACTTGGAATGTTGTCAAGGTGAAGTGCTTTGTTGCCTTCGTTACCTCTTCTGAAATTTCTCCTGCCCCCACTGTCCTGACCTTTTTGATTTTGATTCCTAGCTTCAGATTGAGCGCCTGACTCGCAGTGACCCCAAAGCAAAATACTATGGGATCCTACAGGCTGGGAGACAGATTTTGCAGGAGGAGGGCCTATCAGCATTCTGGAAAGGACACGTCCCAGCCCAGCTTCTCTCCATAGGCTATGGAGCTTTCCAAGTAGGTGGCAGGGGACCCTTGCAGAAGGTAAAGCTAGGAAGGCCCCTTGGGTCATGTTGCTCAATGGAGGAGCAGAGGGAGGGTGAGGCCAGCAGGGATGCTGCCTGGGGGATGGCAGTGACAGGCAGTCCCCACACCTCCCACTCGCCTTAACTGGGAACCCTGCTGACCAGTTGAAAACGTCAGACTGTCCTGTGTCTTAGGCACTCACTTCCCCACGTCCGCCACCATCCATCCCAGGAGACTTAGGTATTGCACAGAGGAGACTGACTTGACACCATGTCCCCACGGGGCTTGGCAGATGGATACTGATGCTTTTCATTTTTTGAAATAACTTCATATGTATGTTTTGTTTGAACTTCACAACAGCATTGTGAGGAAGGTAGAGCGTGTGGTATGGATTGCAGGGAGGCTCAGTGAGCTGTCTGAGGTCACACAGCCTGTATGCAGTGAGGCTACTATTAGAACCCATGCTTTTTGACTTTTAGTCATTCATTAATTCAGCTGAGTGCCAGCATATTCCAGAGAATACAGCATGTAGTTGTATGGCAGTAATAGTGGGAATGGCCACCCCTTGTACAGTACAGATTGTGGGCCAGGCCCTGTTATAAACATGTCACATGTTCTGTCTCACAGCAGTTCTTTGAGGTGGATTCTGTTGTCACTCCTGTTCTACGGATGAGAACACTGTGGCAGACAGAGCTTATGTAATTAACCCAAGCAAAGGCACTAGCTAGAAGGTGGTGGAGCCAGGATTCCCCTCCAGGCAGCTAGCACCGGAGTCATCCCTGGAACATCACAGCAATGGCTCAAGTCAGGCGCTTACTGGGTGGGCATACGCCTGCCATTCCATCTCTGCATCTGGCACACAAAGAGACACGGCAGCGTGATGAATGAATACAGTAATAGGATGGTCTCAGGAAGCCAGACCTTCTGGAGGTGGCTGGAGGAACGTGTTAGGGGTTACCCCATGGAACATGCTCCAACAGAATCTGCTCCAGAGGAAGTGATTCTCCAGCAGTGCTGCAGCCAGCTGCACCAAAGGGGTCCCCTGCCAAGAATTGGATAATAGCCATCTTTTCCCAGTTCTCAGAAAATTAAGTTAGCGAGTAGAATTTTCTGATATAAAATTTTCCCAATTTGTTTTTTTGCTTTTCCCAGTTCTCAGAAAATTAAGTTAGCGAGTAGAATTTTCTGATATAAAATTTTCCCATTTTGTTTTTTTGTTTGTTTGTTTGTTTGTTTTTTGTGGCTGGCCAGTACAGAGATTCGAACCCTTGACCTTGGTTTTATACCATATATTTTCTTAACCCTTTTGGTATTTGGCTCTGTTGCACTTCTTGCTGTGGAACAGAGATGCAAAAAAGTGTTACTCAAAGCAACATGAATGCAATGAGAAGCCTGAAGGGACTGCACCTCAGCAACTCCTCTGTTAGTAGGAGAAAACCGGGTACAGCGCTGATTCAAAGTTAGTTTCTGTTTTTTTATTGTAAAGACAAGGAAGTTTCACAAGAAAAATCAGTTGATTCAATCATTTTAAAAGGACACAAAGACATGGGCAATGTGACGAAAGTTATCTATGGCTAAGTATAGCTTGAACAATGGAAACTAGTAACACCATTAAAATTAACAACGTGACATTCCAAAGTACAATTTGTGAAAAGCTAAGTTGATCAAACTGTGATCATTATCTAAAATACAACCTCTCAGGCCAGCCCGGTGGCGCACTGGAGAGTGCACCGCTTGGGAGCGCGGTGGCGCTCCTGCCGAGGGTTCGGATCCCATGTGGAGACCGGTTCCCGCTCACTGGCCGAGCGTGGTGCGGGCACAACACCGAGGGTTGCGATCCCGTTGCTGGTCAGTAAAAAAAGACAAAAAAAATAAAATAAATAAAATAAAATACAACCTCTCCTTAAATGATTTAAGCAAAAGTTACATTCTCTCACTCACCCAGTGAGCTAACCGGCCCGTGGCTCACTCGGGAGAGTGTGGTGCTAATAACACCAAGGCCCCGGGTTCAGATCCCACATAGGGATGGCCGGTTCGCTCACTGGGTGAGTGTGGTGCTGACAACATCAAGTTAAGGGTTAAGATCCCCTTACCGGTCATCTTTAAAAAAAAAAAATTAAAAAAAATTAATTAAAAAAAATAAAATAAAAACCCTATGCTAAAAATCAACTGAGAATCAACATATACTTGATTAGAATTGATTAGGTAGGGTTTTGCTTGCTGGCCATGGACTTTTGTCCCTTAATTGAGGATTTTTGTCCCATACATGTATTACCTAAAAACCGTATCCTAAAAATCAAATGAGAATCAAGATTTCTAACCCTCTACATGGCTCTACTCAAATAGACTATAAAATGGCATCTGAGTTTTGCACAAAATGGTATATTTATTGTATTCTGTCACTGCTCAAGAAGAGTATTTCCTCACCTTTTCCTTGTCTCCAGGACTGGGCGCCATCTGGATTATGGTGGTGTATCTGGGGAGTATTTGGTCTCAGCCTTCCTCATCCTTTGGGCTGTCAGTGACTTTTTCACTCACTCTTGCAGTTTTTGTCATTTGAACTGCTGACCGAGCTGGTACACAGAGCCAACAAACACGACACCGGCGAATTCTCTGTTCACTTCGTGTGTGGTGGCCTGTCTGCCTGCGTGGCCACTCTCGGCGTGCAGCCTGTGGATGTTCTGCGCACCCGCTTTGCAGCTCAGGGTGAGCCCAAGGTGAGTGATCAGGGGCAAGGGGAGTCCGAATAAGGAAGGTGTTACAGGAGCTGCGGTTCTTTTCCTTACCGAAACCAAAGCTGGGAAAGCCTTGGGTTTTCAGCTCATCAGTCAGTTTGTAAAACCTGTCACCATGGTCAGCACCATACAAGATGCTCTATGTCTTTGCCTCGAAGAAGCTCACAGCCTCCCTGGGGGGCAACCTACAGGTGTGAAACAGAATAAATAAAGACCCAACAGGGGACAGGATCAAGGGAGTCATCTGGGAAAGTAAGACTCAAGAAATTAATGTATTATGGGCCGGCCAGTGGCTCACTCAGGAGAGTGTGATTCTGACAACACCAAGGCCGTGGGTTAAGATCCCCTTACCAGTCATCTTTTAAAAAAAAAAGAAGAAGAGCTTGATCTGGGACCAGTTAAGAATATCTGTGGTTTTAGTTCTGCCAGTTCTTTGTGTTGCTTGGGGGGAAGACCCTGGCTGGGAAGGCACTTCTGTTTAGGAAGCATCCTGATGACCTTTTTGGTTGAGAAGGGCAAAGTCGCCTGGGAACAGTCTGGAAGAAGACAATTGGGACATAGGAGCTAAATTGTTTTGTAAGATAATTAAGTAGGACATGGAGGTTTGGGGTGACTGCCTTGACAGAGAGATGGGATGATGGGCCCTAGAAGCTGAGCAGAGAAATGGAAGGGAAGGTGTTTATAGATAATAGAGGACAAATTAACCTCAGTAACATGGTGGCTGCAGGCCTGGAGAAGTGAAGGCTGTGACAGTCCAACTTTCCTGTTCTGGGTCTGCCGTAATCCTCTTCTGTTACTTTCCAACTTTTTTTTTGTTTTGGGGTCTTTTTTGGCAGCTGGCCAGCACAGGGATCCGAGCCCTTGACCTTGATGTTACAATGCCACGCTCTAACCAACAGAGCTAACTGGTCAGCCTGTTCCTTCCCAATCTTTTTTTTTTTTTTTTTTTTTTTTTTTTTTTT